CATCTTTACGCTTTCTGAGTTCCAAAGGAAATACTCCAGTTTATATAAATTCCTGATATCTTGCGGTATCACGAAGCTCGAAGGGACATTTCACACCTCCTTGGATGAATTCATTATGTTTACCTAAACAGAAACATTCACCTATGGAAAAGTTAACATGTGCAATTGAGTGAAGGACATTTTTTCTTTACAGAAAAGCTTGTAGGCTCATCACCAAGCAGGAATCTTTGACTATAGAGGGAAAGATGTTACTCACCAATCATTTTGGAATGGTAGACAGGATGGATTTACTGGAGCATGAGGAGTTTGTGTGGGTCAATTAATGCACTCATTTTTCACTAATTAAATAAAGCTATTGTTGCAGATAAATGTCCACATCAAGAGATTTACTGTGCTACTAATTCACCATTGTATGCAGAAGTAGAATATTTTTTTTGTTTTGTTTTTATGCTTGAGATATCTAGAGGTTTCAAATCACCAAACAATATTTTTTAATAAAGATAGTCAAATATTGACTTCAGTTATTAATGGAAGACATGCACACATCCCCACAATCTCTCCCAAAAACATATGAAATAATGGTAACCCTTCTTCTTTTAGAAATTTCCAGTGCACATTTATTTATTTACGTAAGTAAAGCTTCCTTCTGTTTTTTAAGTATCACATCACATGTGTAAAGAATTCTGTCTGCACGTCATTTCCTTTGTAATCAGCCAGCTAAGTCATGTAGTGTCAGGCTGAGAGTGAAAATAGAAGGTAAGTCATTTTGACTGCTGGTGGTCATCAAACCCTCTTTCTCTTTGTTCTCTCTGCTCCCTTGCTAGTACTCTCCTCCCCAGAGATGTGTGGCAACTCAGGACATGGCTCAATATGGACTGGTGTGCCATTTCCCCACTGGCTTAATTGAAGGCCTAAAACAATGATCAGCTAATGCAAAAGCCCTCCCCAGCTTGTGCAAGCATAATTTTTTTCCCCCTTCGCTTCTGTCAGGTGCTGAAGTGAGATGAATTACAAGACGGGCACAAGCTTGATAACAGCTTATGATGCGTCTGGCTTTGCCCTCTAATCACAGATTTTTCATTTCTACTGAATTTCTGTTTCATTTGCCCTGAAGCATAAAATGGATATTGAGTCTAGGTTTGGGAAATCTACAGCTCTTAGACCTGGTGATTGATATCAGGAGCAAAGTTTCCTTTATTTATTTTCAGAAAGAACAGTAGATATTTTGCATCTTCATCATAGCGGTATGTTAATAGGTTTTGTGACCCTTGAGTCCGACATTATTTGCCAATGATTATATATGTCGGTGAATAAAGATCACGTGGGGTTCCTCCGGTTTCCACTATTGTCTTCTCATTTCGACTCCGATAATCTGATGTCACCGCTCCTTTTCATATGTATGTTTCTAACACAAAACACTTTTTCCTCCCAATTACAGAACGTCCACAAACTGTTTCAGTTTCGTAGTAGGTGTCTATCCTTTGTCTCTGTCTCATGAAGTCAGGTCCAGGTGGGAAACCAAACGTCCCACTCCCTAGAGACACTGCTGCTAGCTTTGGTGAAAACCAGGGTGTTCCATAGACGAAGCTGATATACACTGGCCACTGCATTAGGTAGATTACTACTTGTTGTAACAAGCAGTCTCCTGCCACCTAATTATAGCAGTTAGGAAACCACTTTGCTGAAGCTCAAACTGAGCACCAGAATTGGGAAGACAGAGGATTTAAGTGGCTTTGATCATGGCAATGTTGTTGGTGCCAATGTGCTAATCTGAGTACTTCAGAAAAATTAAGGTCAAAAATCAGATTTTTGATTTAATGAGGATCATCCAAAAATGAGAAAATATCTCCTTTGCATGGTGTCTTTTTGATGTCAGAGTGAAATGTACAGACAGGTTCAAGATGATAAGGCAACATTAGCTCAAATGACCAGTTTGATATCCACTATATCTTGAATACGCTCTAAATGCACCGCAAATCACCTATGATGGCTCAAAGTTTTCAAAATTGGCGAATAACAGATTGGAAAAATTTTGCAGAAGTGTCACAAATTAGACATGAACAACAAAAAATAATAGATCCATCCTGTCTTCTATCAACAATTCAGGTTTGTGGTAGTAGTATAATGGTGTGGAGGTCAATATATCTTAATGCATGTTGGACACTTTTTTACTCTTTATGTAATAATAAATTATTTAATCTTGTGACTTTGCTGGAAAATTGCATGACATTTAGAAAGATGCTGGTCAGTTAACTTTGGCTCAACGCCCTCTCCCAAAAAAAAAAACAAAAAAAAAACTGCTGAGTTATTAGGCCTGACAGGATGTGCAAATATTTTTTTTTTGCTCTGTTCTTTCACATGTACTTATGTATACATCAAAGGGGTAATTGATAGACTCTGGAAATAGTGCGGAGAAATATTTTGTTCCATCTCCACATCTTTTTTTTTTTTTCTTCTTCTTCAAGAAGGCCTTATTTGACCTACCTTCCTTTAACTCCCCTGTTTAAAATGAAAGAGTTGTCATGGTAACACTACTGATGTCATTCCAGTGAGAAAAGTGGAGAGATGAGCCACAAGAGCTCTGGCTGGCCTTGGAGACCTTCTGGTTTACTCCACACGCAGATTGTCACTTTAATAAACTTGCACAGACTGTGATATGAGTGCAAAGATGATAACTTTACTAAACTGGGCAACTGTGAACTGGACTGCAGACCTAAATATTTCCATTTGCAGACAGATCTCACATCTGTTTCTTTCATTTACCCCTAAGCAGCTTCTGTGGCATGTTTTTTTTTTTTTTTTTTTTTAGATTTGGACGTGTGCTTGCACGATCTATCACCTCTATTTACTCCACCATCAGCTGATTATAATACCTTGAAATCGGTGCTTAGCAGAACTATATATGCCTCTCACACTTGCTTGTAAAATCGAGGCAGAGTTTTCATTCATTGTATTTCATGTCATAGAAGCACAGTAACATTTGTTTCAACTTCTATTGTAATTTAAACTGATAAGTGGCGGGCCAAACTATTCTGTCCCTTTTAATAGTTAAATTGTGCTCTGGGGATGCTTTCTTCTGTAGATGATTGTAAGAGAGATGAAGCTAAACAAAGTACGATGGGAGTTTTCAGAAATAAAGTCACCTGTTCACAGCTGCAGGTACATCACTTCTCCTTTGGTGCTCTTGATTGAAAAATAGGAGTCAGCTTAAGGGGCTTACATTTTTGTATGCTGCCTCAAAGCCTTTTTGCAAGTCCTATGCTAAGGGCTACAGCGCGTGAAGTTTGCTGAGGGCATTTTATCTTGAGGATTCATTCACAGCTGAAGAGATGCCAGGAATGAACAAACATGGGATACCCTCCAGCTGATCTGGCTCGTCTTTTTTTTGCAGGGTCGGAACAGATGCAGCAGAAGGCTATAAGCCGATGGTTTCTGAAGATTGTTGTCTTCTTTGAACCCCTTTGCTTCTTTTACTAATAAATTGACTCGCAAGCTTGCATATTCACTGCTATTGCAAAAAAATCCAGCCACCGTTGGTGACAGGGCTATTTGTGTGTATGGGAATGAATATGAATATTTTCTTCTTCAGCTTGGAGAATAAAACTTTCCATTTTCCTCTTTTATATGCTTGCTTGAACAGTTGTCTTTGTGCTACTTTCAACTTCTTTCTTAGCTTTCAATGCTGAGGAGCTGAGGCTAACTGAAGCTTACATGCCCTCACTCAACCCTTAAGGGTTACATCGCTTGCATGATAAATTCACTGTCAACCCCCACTTTTATCATGATCTCCAGATTTCCCCAAGGTATGGATTTGGTGAAGAATTCATTTTTTCAAAATTAAATGATGGCAAAAGTTAATTGCACTGGGCAATCAACTCCCAACAACTTCTCTAGCCAATAGAGCAAAGACTACACTCAGATATTCATCATGAACATCATAAACAAAGGACAATGGGACAATGGCAAAGAACAAAACATAAAATCCCCAACCAGAATATTTGGTCTGTGACAGTATTAGTATTATAGTTTTGGGGCTTGTGTTTTTCTTTTTTTTTTCTTTTTTTATTTTTTTTTTTGTTTATTTTATCATTATTAATAAGTGTTTGCATGAACACTACTGGTGGTTGACTAGCTAATTTAATCACCTCCTCTACATTTTTAAAGTTTATACATGCACCTTTATATACATAATAAAAGTAGCTTCAGTATATAGCATCAAAGTCAGACAATGGGGAGCAGTTGAACATCTAAAATGTTTGAAGCTCAAGATCTTGTGGCACGAAACCCTGACTAACTGTAGTGTTTTTCTTTTTCCTCTTCATGTGAGTGTTCTTTACTAACTTTTTTAGTTTTTGCAATATTGCTTCAGATGTTCCAGTTTAACTTAGAAACTTTGAAGAACTGCTGTTTCATTTTAAACAGCACCCACATCTTGTTCCTGAAAAATGTCAGTAGCTCTTATTTAACTTTTTGTTGAAATGGGTTTCCATTTACTCCCACGTCTTTTCTTACTTATTAACAAATATCACTTTGGTTGTTTTGTGTTCCTTCTTCTCTTTTGCTCTTGATTTTTTTTTTTTTGGTGACTGATTATCTTGATTCTCTGAATAAATCTCTTGAGTAATTACCGTTGAATGACAGCATCAGCAGGTTGTTTTCTATCGACCAGCCGCACATTGACTTTTTTTTCGATTGGCTTCAAATTTACAGCTAGGACGGCAAACTGCAGTGCTAAAAACAGAGCTGTTGGGAACTCACAGGCTTTACAATCAGTGAAGACAAAAGAGCGGAGGAGTGGAGGGTAGCAGGTTAATGAGATCACCCACTAGGTGAGGTCGCCCACCTCGTCAAACCGGGGAAGGCCGCGTCTGCTTCAGGAGTCGGATCCAATCAGCGGAGCTTGTCGGAAGCCATCAGAGTCAGAGCCGCAGAGTCATTCTGCCGCGGCTCTTTGATTTAAACCCGATTGTTTATTGAATCCACTTCCTTCTTGTTTCCAGGGGAGCTTTGTGGCCTGCATGACTGCCATCCTGAGACAGATGGATGTATATCATTATGGTCATCTGATCAACACTTTTGGCAAGATAAGAAGTGATGTAGTGGTGAGTACATCATAATATATCTGCCCTTTTCTATAAGATATTTCAGTCTACATTTGGTCATGATAATAAAAAACTTCATATTCTTCTGTTGCTAAAAATTGGAAGGTTGGGCATTGCCAATATTGGTTGGGCCTTGCTCAATATAGGCATTACCTCTAACCCTTCTATAGAAGGGATTAAAAATATATATAATTTGGTAATTGAATTCATAAATAAATATTGTTTTCATATTTAGAAAAAAGTCATTTTGTTACAGTTAAACAAATGAACATTATCTTAGTCCTAGAAGAAAATTTGTTTTCCAGATGAAGAAAAAGATAGGAAGCCTTACCCCACAATACCCTCTTTAGCTGAGAAACATTTAGTAAGACACGTTTTATCGCCATCTACAAGAGTCTTATCAGTCTGAGGAAAGTTTCCCAATCCGCTTTTAGACATGAGATATTTTAAGAGTTTCTTGCATGAGGTAAAGATCTCAGGTCTCATTTATAAAACACTGCTTATGTTATATACTAAAAGTGCAAATACGCCCATATGCTAAAGAAAAAAAATCATGATTTATAGAACCATTCGCATAGACACCAGAAAGCAATTTCTCCTTTAGATCACAGCTGCATCGCCTTCTGTTCCACCTTCTGTTCCCCACCTCACCATATGCATTGCCAGTTTCCCCACCTTCAACAACAGTGTATGGGCCAGAGTTTGCGTGAGGAACTTCACGTTCTCTCGTCAATTTTTTTATTTTTTTTACAGACGACAGCCTTATAGGAAAAGCAATGTTTCAGGCCTCGATTTGTTGCAGTATAGTTCCATTGGAGCTTAAATGTTTTGACAAATGATGTCACATTTTCCTCAAGCATCCTCTCATACCTGGTGAAATTTCTTCAATTTAGCTACAGCAAAAATCACCAACCATGAAATTTCCAGCTCTATGTTTCACCATCTGTATGAGGTTCTCTTTCCTCAGTGCTCTGTTTGTTTTTTCCAAAGCACATTCTTTCTCATTGTATAGGCTTTGCAATTTAAATATCAAGAATCTACTGTAGGTCCCGTGATAACAATTTAGCCTTTTTAGAAATTTATTTTAGCTTTTTAAGGTAAACCTGCCTGAACAGTTTGTTGCTATGTGTTTGTACTTGTATCCTCTTCAAGGAAGTAGAATGCCTGATTTTGAGAGTTCTTTAAATTCTTTACCAAACTCACAAGTTGGTGTAACCTTGTGTCTGAACGGCCCTGAGAACTGATTTGATCTCAGAATGGTGTGTTTTGCTTTAATTTATTTTTACATTTTTTGGCAGCAGCTTTTTTTTGTCAGAAGTTTGTGTCAGTGACTGTCAAGCCAGCAGTCTTCACCATGACCGTGTGGGTTACAGTATGGTCATAACATGTATTTTCTTTATTAAAAGTCTCCTTTTGTTGGTTTATGATATTTAAATTTTCCAAGAAACAGAATTTTGTGTCTTTATTAACTGTAAACCTTAATCATAGTAACTTGCAAAATTTAAATTACAAAGCATGCAACTCTACACTATATGTATATATAAATTTTTGAATTGAATTACTGGAGTGAATTGACTTTCTGATTTTTGTCTTACTTATTGAGAGGCATCTGTAAATTCTTGTCCTCCATTTATAGGTATGAAATTGAATTTCTTAAAGACCTTGCCTTCAGGGTTCTACATGAACAACAGAAACTGAGGAAAATGGATTACTTATTGCAGCCAGCATGTAGTGGGAGAGCAGGAATAAATCCCAATGATTTTGGTTTTGAGCCCTAAATAATCCTGCCCTTAGAGCGGCATTTCTCCAGTAGCTGTTGCCAGATTAGCATTCTATTGCTCTTTCCCAATAAATAACAAAATCTGTCTGTCAGGGAATTGGGGAGATTATGGAGCAAGGATCAAATATCAGATTAGCTTCCGAGGTACATCTGTTGAAAATACAAGTAGTTTTTTTGGAATTTACCTTACATGACTGCAGTAGTTTTTGTTCTTATTTCATTAATTCATATTTGCTGACATCCTGATAGGTATCATATAATAAATAACAACATTATATGCCTTTACATAGCTGTAATAAGAAATGTATCATAACCAAATAAAATAGTATTTTCTCATATGTTAGAGACAAATTTTTGTTAAGGGGACATATTTAGACTCACACATTTCAGTGACCCAAATGTCTTTGTTATTCTGCAGTTTCCTTCATGTGCAAACCCTCTTCTATTCACACACATTTATTTAAGTAGATAGGACAATTTAATGCCAGTAGTCTGGCATTATGTTGCTAGTTTTTAGACATTGCTGTTAAGAAGAAATCTCCTGTCAGATTGTGTGACCAATTTCTGATCACTAATATTGTAAAGCAATTTTAGCCAAACATAACTTCTCTTTCAGAGTCATTTATAACACAACAGCTTAAACTTCTTTTTTAAATTTTGTCATGTCACATCAACAAACTTAAAAAAGAAAATGCTTCAAAGTATATCAAAATGTGGAAAAGTTTAGTGGCCTAAAAAAGATTGATACAAGTCTTTATAATTTTATAAAATAGAACGTTAATGAAGACCTCCTCATATTCCTCTGATTTATGAGGTCAGAAGAATAACTGTTCTCATTTTGACAACTTTTTCTCTCTCACAGGATTTTCTTATGGAAACATTTATCATGTTTAAAAATCTCATTGGGAAAAACGTCTATCCCTCGGACTGGATCATAATGAACATGATGCAAAACAAGTAAGTGAAATTTTGCTGAATTAACACACTACAAACACAAAACAAAAAAAAGTAATGCAGCTTGAAAACGTCCATTTCTGCTGTTGCTAAGGAACGGCAGTGGGGAGTGGGTGAGAATATTTTTTTTCCAAATGTTTTTCTCTCCATGCAAATATCGGCACAAGGTCTCAGCAGTGTAGCAATCAGATGAACAGTCAGCGCAGCCTCAAACAAATGCATGAATTATAAATGTTTTGGAGTATGCTGTCTGCTAATCTCCAAATTTAGTCTCAGCATCTCTTTACTTTGCCAGTTGTTGTGCCATAGCAGCTTTCTCTTTTATTAATGTTGCCTTGCTTGATTTTTTTTTTTTTAATAAAGTAAGAAAGATTGAATACATTTTTTAGTTCAGGAGTTTAGTCAAGAGCTTTTCTTTGTGCATGTTACCTGAAAATGTTTCCTTGCAGTAACAGAACGTGTTGTGAGGCACTGTTAGGTTGACACATCAGAAACTGACTGTGAAAACCCGAAGTCATTACATTTCTTGTCTACAAGCGTCTGAGTCAAGATATATTCCAGATAGAATGAAGACATCTGCTTTTTCAGATTTTTCATTTCCTTTCAACTTCTTTTGTCTCATGAAAAAACTTGGAAAAACATCAAAAGACATGCTGTGTTTTTTAATACTCCCTTAATTCTGCCTCCCTTCTACTATTCAAGTTGACTATATATCATTAAAAGACTTGAGCCATTTGTCTCTCACAAGGTCTTTTTGACATTTTTGAATGGAAGAACACCCGTGGAAATTATTCAGGACGGATGGCCGGACAGTAAAATGGACGCTCGCAATGATGAATGTTTGGACGGATAGATGCTCGGATGGATGAATGCATAGATATAAAAAAAATCCAAAAAAGTGGTTCAAACCAATAAACTTATCTACTTCACGCTATACAATATTTGGCGTCTTTTCAGACCCTTCCTGCTGCATACCACTGCCAGCAGTCAGAGCAATGGAGACCCCATTCACTTTTGTGTCCACATTGCAAATGAATCATTTTGTGCAAAGCTCAGAAATTCAATAGAGCCATGCTTCCAACATTCATTATTCCGAGCCCTGACTCCACCTGGTGCATGTGTTTGAGGGAGATGGTTTTATGCCAGAATGCGTGGACACAAACCAAGCTGTATTGTTATAACCAATAGGAAAATCCAACCACAGTAGTCACCGCTAAGCCTAAGGAGGCAAGCACGGAGATGATGTTAGAATAACTACAGACTCAAAACAAGAAAAAAGTCCTTAAGGTTTAAAAAAAAAGTTGATTTGGGGTTTAATCACACTTCAAAGACCTTACTTTTTTTTTCATTGGCAGCTTGATGGGACAGTTATTGTACCACACTAAATTTCTTACAAAACTTTAATGTTTCCTCAAGCTGCTCGTTTCAAGTTCAGGCTGTACAAGAGGATACATTTTTTTTTTTTTTTTACTTAATTCTTGAACAGACTGAAACAAACAGTCATTCCCTTTGGCAATGAATCATACTTAAAACACTTTTTGTCTGGAACCACTGAAGATTTTATTTTTTTATTTATTTTTTTTACCATGGAATCAAATAAAACCAATCAAATCAAATTATGTACGAATGCTTAAGTTGAGTTCTGTTTTTGTAAGATTTTTTTTTTTCCTTTTTGCTTGTGTGGAAAAACAAGCTGTCAAATATGACACTACATGAATCTGTCTGTGCATTACAGGTACTGGCTGTGTGATAAAACTGCTTATGAAGCCTGCTTATGAACATGCTTCTGCAGAATATGGTAGAAAGACTCCATCTCTGGCTGCTTAATAATCTGAGTATCTCCTGGTAAACTGGGGTCAAACATTTATTTTAAACGGCACATGCATTAGTCAGAATTTGTTTTTGTGGATGTAGAAACTAGCTATTTGCAGCAGGTGTTGTGCTTATTATGCTGACCTCTATTTGACTCTGAGCAGTTTTCAGCCTCTTCCTATTCCTGCCGAAAGCATCGTTTCCAGCTAGGGCATTTGACTACAGATTGCATTGCTAGATTTAGATTATATTGCTTTTATTCATGCAGTTGATTGCTGCATGCCACATTCCTTTTTAAAGAAGAAAGTATTTGCTGCCTGTGTCACAAAGTAAAACACATTGATGTGTTTTGCACCCAGTTCCGTTCCAGTGAGCAATGACATCTGTCTTCACGTTGGCGAACAAGGGAGCCCTTATTGACCTTTCCTTAACCTCATACTCAACATTTCAACATGACTCATTTTGCATTTCACATTAAAAAAAAATCTCATTTAACAATTTGAGTTGATGTAATCCTGTGATCCAGCCAGATTGATGACACCACTGAGGTGCCATTGGGTATTTTTAAGCTGCTGCTTTGTACCGTGGTGCATAGAGTTTTATTTTTGATGCCGACTTGAGACCAGTGTGTCATCCCCTTTGCCTCAGCAGACTCTTTGTCAGCTAAACCTTTGTACGCTTGTGCATTTGTGACAGGCAGCCAAAAGATTAATTCAGCATTCAAGCTTGTGCATTCTGTCACTTGCTTGAGGTAAATTGTTCTTTATTTCAATGAAAAACAAGTCTGTCAAATCCTGACTCATCTCACCTTCTTTATACTTGGGCTTGTTGAAATACTTCAAGTGCATGCTTCATGACAAATTAGCAAAACTCCTCCATTTGTTGCCATCCGCCTGAGAGTGTTTGATTGGATGTGTTCCTGCCTCCTCACAGAGCAAGGTGACACAATGCTTCATTCCATGACAGTGCAGTTTATGTTTTGCAAAATCTTTTTTCTTTTAATTGCCTTAAGCAAACACTGAAGTTGTAACATATCAAGTCTTGACTAGAGCTTGGCATTGTTGAGAAACACGCTGTTCAATTAGATTTTAATTGTAGAAACCGAGATAATTACATAATTTTTGAATTATCATTTTTAAACATATTTGACAAATATTGCCATTCTGACTGACACGCCTATTGAATTCTTAATAGTTGACCAAAACATCAAGGCAGACTTTATTCAAATGAATGTTTAAAATAACCAAATACGCTTTAAAATTTATACTCAAAAATGGATTTTGTGGAAACTCAGTATGCCAAACCTTTTAAAAGTTAACAAAAGGGCAAAACAATTATTTTGCCCTGCTATTTGCAGTTTGGCAGAAGTGTGCCCATCACTGTATTCCTCTTATGCCAGGTGATCCATATTGCACACCAGGCAATGATTTGACTTTTGAATAAATTTTACTGCCAATTATAATTCATTTTAACTAATTTGGATACTAACTGCTCCAGTTTATATCTGTTGTGTGTGCTACATTTAAGTGAAAAAAGTCAGTGCATAAGTGAACTGTACACAGAGTAAATATATTCATTAACTAAGGTAACTGTTGCAACGTGCAGCCGAAGCACATGCAGATTTGCGTAGTCACTCTTTTCAATGAAGATCTTTCAGCACATCCATCTAATACTAGTACACCAATATTCACTTTTCACATTTCAATAAACAAATAGTTTTTTTTTCTACGCAATAGGAATGTTATGGTATTTGATCTTGTCTTTAGTTGTAACATCTAGTACTGTACAAAGAGCTTTATGACATGTTGGAATACTCTTCAGTCTTCTTCATTGATATCTTGACTGTGATGAACTCAGGTCACGTTTAGCTCAGTGATTTGAAACCCCTACTGTCAGCAGATGGCTTCTGTTATGTACCCACATTGTGATAGCACCACTAATGAGATGGGCTTAACCTCCGACTCTTTCCTCGGCCATAAGCTCCTACTTTCCTCCGGGTTGCAAACGGATTTATGGGATCTAATTGCCCCGGTGACGGCAGCATCAGCGGGGTCAGCCACAGACTGTTGTTTACTACTGCGCCAACTGGCCACGACTAGCCTTTAGGCTAACATTAGCATTTTGGCTAATTGTAGCCTTATTGTAGGCGGCTGCTAATGTTTAAGCTCATATTTTATAAATGATTTTACAATTTCCCCATGGGAAAGTATGTTCTATTTTATTATTAATTTGGTGTTAATAGATGAGCGATTTGTCTGGTAACGAACTGCAACGAAGTATAAATCTGATTTTTATTTTTGTGTTGAATGTTTGTTTTAAAATGTATACATATAACACCAATGAAAAAACTAAAAAAAGTCACTTTTCTGCCAACTTCACCAACTGTACTATAATTATTAAGTTGTATAAAATAAGTAGTATTTCAAAATAGCAGGACAAATCTTATGGTTTTTGAACAATAACAATAGTTGTTATTAATCTGTTGCAAAGAGATGAGTGTTTTCTATTAACACAGTGCCACAAAGTAAACATTTGAATTTTAATTTAGCAAAATTTACAAACTATAAATTTCTTGTCTAAGCAGATAAATAACATTTCAAAAGAGCTTATGGTTTTATAAATAGCAATATTACTTGTTACGAATTTGGTGTTTAGAGATTAGCTTTTTTTTTTTTTGTTTTAGTAACGAACTGCCACAAAGTATCAATCACACATTTGTTTTAAATGTTTGTTTTATAGCACCAATGACAAAAAAGAAACTTAATTATTTCTGCCAAATTCACCAACTGCACAATTCTTGGTAAGTGGTAAGTAGTACTTCAAAAGAGCAGAATAAATCTTATGTTTCTTGAACCACACTAATGTTTATTGTTAATCTGTTGCTAAGAGATGAGTGTGTTTTCAGGTAGCAAAGTGCCACAAAGTGGCAATTTGTAAAAAAATATTTGCAACAATTTTACAACTGTACATTTCTTGTGTCAAAGCAGATAAGCAGAATTTCAAAAGAACTTATGTTTTATAAACAGTAATAATATTTAGTAATTTGGTGTAATGAGGTAATCGTTTAAGTTCTGGTAATGGACTGCCACAAAGTATAAATCCGATTTTGAATGTCTGTTTTATAATATATTTACCACCAATGACAGACCAAAAAAAAAATCACCAGCTGCACAATTCTTAAGTAACATAAG